TAAGCAGAGCTCAGTACAAATCCTTATACTTCACCAGTGACTTTAATTATATTACCTAATATCCACTAAGCACATAGTATGTGTTGCTTCTTTTTAGTATCAGATGATAGTGATGTTAGAATCATGAAACACTTGCAATTTGGACATTGTTATACTGCAACTTAATTCACATAGTATATGCTGAAAATATTAGACTCATTTTCTTCTAAGTTTCTGTTCTAAATGATAGTAATTGAAGATACTTTTTCGGGTAGATGAGCTTAAAAACCTGTCTTCTGTACTAAGTGTGATTGGCTTAGAAGGAATTGCACATTAGTTGCCAGTTCTGGATTTATTTGCCCTTTTGATGTGGGACAAAGATAGGTTGAGCACAAAGCTTTTAAAAGATTAACCTGATAAAACGAGAGATGCCAGATCCAATATCAACTCGGATTGCTCAATAATTGTGACTAAACAATCATAGTGGTATGAAGAGAAAAATAAACTCTTGTTTTTCTAAATGAAAAGTGAAGAGAAAAATAAACTAATCAATTCAAAAACCTATAATCTGACAATAGTTGAACATTATCCTAAATAAGAAAAAAAAAACTATAACAATAATTAGCTGATACTTATTTCAAAGAAATAATAAGTTGATACTTAATATTCTAACTAAAGTAATTAGCCTTAGTAATATATAAGTCATAGTTACATAAATATTTCTTAAAATATTAGTGGACTTAAATCTAGGGTCTGCATTACTGCACATCTTCCCAGTGCCATAAATACTTATTGCTGTTTTTGTTCCATCATATCTAACATTTAATATTGAAATTAAACGATATTTCTCCTTTCTGTTATTTTTAGTTGGTCCCCATATTTCTTCCTGTTAATGTATTTATATTACTTTAATTATTCATAGAAATGCAATGTTCTTACTGGCCTTGTAAATGGATTTTCCTGGCAGTGGGAAGATGCTCCCAACCTTGGTAATACTCACCTGCCGTACAGATGTAAGTAGCATATGCATTGTCCCATCTCTAGAACTTGTCTACGTTGTAACTTTATTATATTCTAATATCCATCATTAGCTGCATAACATATCCTAAATAATAATTATCAAAATGGTATTTTCTTAAGAAGTATTATAAGTAATCTCTATCCCTGCTAAGATAAAAAAGAGTCCAGCTCCATGTAAATGTTTATTCCTAAGATAGATAGCAAAGCTCCATCTAAATTAATGTTATTTTTTTTGAGGCAGTATTTACTCTTCCACTTTCCTCCACTACATCAGTATACCTAACTCCCTTCAGAAGAATATTAAGA